AAAAAAAGGCAAGGTCAGTTGACTTGTGAACAATACAGGTTTTAATTGTGCAGATCTGCTTATATGCAGATATTTTTCAATAAATACTGTAAATGTATTTTCTCTTCTCTGTGATTTTTTAATAACATTTTATTTTCTCTGGTCTATTTTATAAGAATACAGTATATAATACATATAACATACAAAATATGTGTTAACTATTCACAGTAAGGCTTCCGGTCAACAGTAGGCTATTAGTAGTTAAGTTTTTGGGTAGTCAAAAGTTATATGTAGCCTTGCCCACGTGCCTCAGTGCTTAAATGTCGGCCTATGATCCAAGAGGTCATGGTTCATTTCTTGGTCAGGGCATATGCCCGGATTGCAGGTTTGATCCCCAGTTGTGGGCATGCAGGAGACAGCTGATAGGTGATTCTTTCTCATCACTACTGTTTCTATCTCTCTCCCTCTCATTCCTCTCTCTGAAATCATTGTTTTTTAAATTATATGAGACTTTTTTTTACTGTAATGCCCTTGACCCCAAAGTGGTATAGGGCCAACTCTATTTTTCCTTTGTGATTTAGTGGCTCACTTGGAGGTGGGATCTGACCAACACTTCATGTCCCAAGGGAGCATATTGCCTCCTTTTGCTCCTTTTCATGAGTCAAGCTCCCTGATTCATTGCTTTTACAACAAAGGATTATTTACAGTGAGAAGAGGACTGTATTGCAGTCCCAAGATGATGTTGTGTATTACAGAAATATAAGGATTAGGAAATAATCTCAGTGCTTAAAAAGCTAGCAAGGCTCATTATAATGTTGCATTGAATGCAGAGTGACACATTTTACCAACATGCGCTGCCCTTAGAAGTATCTATAGATAGATATAAGAGGTGAACTTTGTTTTCTCCAGGGCTACGGGAAGTCTTTCAGCCAGACTAGGATGGTCAGATAGACCTCAGAGATGTCTGGGCACTGCTGGGAATGGGCCAGACTGGCGAGACCGTGACCAAATCTGGGTATCCACTCCTTGATACAAACAGAAGGAAGCTCCTGAACCAAGCAAAATGAAAACACCTACCTTGGCCTCTTCCCCCTAAGTTCCAAATAATTGCTGCACCTGCTGCACAAGATAGCATTTCCTCTTGACAGGTGGCAGTTTGCATGGCTGGCCTAATGCAAGGGTGTAAGAATAAGCATAATCCTCTTGCTTGTTTCCCTATAAAATAAAGCCCCTTTTTTATGTCCAGTTCTTGACCTAGAATTCCAAGCCCACAGAGTTTGCCTATGATGGTACTTGTGAGGCAGACAGTACCTCGAGCAGAGTGCCTCTCACCTTTTCCTGGATAGGACAGGCCTGTTTGTGACCCGGGAAGTATACACTGCTTAGGTTGGCATGTTTGCACTAGTCTGACTCCAGTTTCTTTGGCCCAAGAAGATACTAGACAGAATCCTAAGACCTTTATTAGTCTTCACTGAGCCTTTCCTGGCTTCTCACTGCAAGACCCACCACAGCTATTCTCATCTTCTACCCCTGGGAATCTGACGGGCCTCTTGCAGCATCCGGCTTCTGTATCTGCCATCTCCGGAATGTGCTGAGCCTTCTAGAACCCTGCCTGCTTCCCACTGTGCCACACTCTGAGCCTGGCCTCCTCACCTTGCCTGACTGTGTTTCCAGAGGCCCCAGTCACTTCCTGTGGCTGCACCAGCACATGGGGTTCTGGCATTAGCTCACCAGGCTGTCCTTCCTGCCTCCCCTGCAGCCTCCAGAGTGACCTTCCTAAATGGGAAAGGGAGCACAGGCACCACCAGTTTCACCTTTATTAGCAGGCTTCCCTGACACTCTGGCTAAGGATGGTGCATCTTTTTCTTTTCTTTCCATTGAATGTATTGGGATGACACAGGTTAACAAAATTATATAGGTTGAAGATGCTCCAATTAATGTTAAAGCTTCTGAACAGACAGGGCATGCAAGGAACCCTTTAAAATGGAATAAACAAAATGCTAACATATTCTCCATTTGAATTTCTAATCATGTGCTGTTACCAAAACTAGGTCTTAAATGGAGGCCTTAACAATAGAGGTGTTTTGTTTTGTTTTTAATCCTCACCCAAGGATATTTTTCCATTGATTTTTAGAGAGAGTGAAAGCCAGAGAGAAATATCGATGTGAGAGAAACACATCGATTGGTTGCCTGTTGCATGAGCCCTGTCTAGGGCCCGGGCTGGGGAGGAGCATGCAACCAAAGTACGGGCCCTTGACCGGAATCGAACCTGGGATCCTTCAGTTCGCAGGCCAACGCTCTATCCACTGACCCAAACAGGCTAGGGCAGCAGTAGAGGTTTTGAGTGTGTTAGAAGCTTATTTAAAAACTAGAAACCCGGTGCACTAAATTTGTGCACCGGAGGGGGTGTCCCTCAGCCCAGCCTGCACCCTCTCCAATCTGGGACCCCTTGGGGGGTGTCCAAGTGCCAGTTTAGGCCCTATCTCTGTGGGCCTAAACTGGCACTCGGACATCTCCACAATCAGGGACTGCTAGCTCCCAACCACTTGCCTGCCTGATTGTCCCTAACCGCTTCTGCCTGCCAGCCTCATCACCCCCTAACCACTCCCCTGCCAGCCTGATCAACACCTAACTGCTCCCTTGCCGGCCTGATCGCTCCTAACTGCCCTCCCCTGCCAACCTGGTCACCCATAACTGCCTTTCCCTGCAGTCCTGGTCCCCCCCAACTGCCCTCCCTTCCCTGCAGGCCCGGTCGCCCCCAAGTACCACCCACTGCCGGCCTGGTCCACCCCCAACTGCCCTGCCCTGCTAGCCCAGTCACCCCAACTGCCCTGCCCTGCTGGCCTGATCGCCCACAACTGCCCTCCCCTGCCGGCCATATGTGACCACATGGGGGCAGCCATCTTGTGCAAGGGTGTGATGGTCAATTTGCATATTACTTCTTTATTATATAGGATTGTGGGTTTGTGTGTGTGACTCCTTCTCAGCTGTACACTTTGAGAATCTACTGGTTAGTACCTGATGTATGGTTAGTGCCTGGTAAATGTGGTCTGAACTGGTGAAGGTTATTGACACCCGTTCCTGATGAGGTTAAGTACAGGGGATGCAGAAAGGGCCCCCTGATGAAGCTCAGGATATCAGCTGGAAAGCAGAATTAAGAAGATAAGAGGGCCCAGCAAGTGTGGCTCAGTAGTTGAGCATCAACCCATGCACCAAGAGGTCAGTTTGATTCCTGGTCAGGGCACATGCCCGGTTGCAGGCTCTACCCCCAGTAGGGGGCATGCAAGAAGCAGCCCATTGATGTTTCTCTCTCTCTCTCCCTTCATCTTTTTCCTCCCTCTCTCTCTCAAAATCAATTAAAAAAAACCATTTTAAAAAAGAAGATAGGAGATTAGGAAGTTAAGGCAGCTACAGTGTTGAGGTCATGCACTCCAAGAGGTGGCAAAAAGCGGAACAGAATGATGGCTATGTCTCTTGGTGTTGGGGATCTAGGGTGTCTATACAAGGGGCTACTGGAAGGGACAATCGGGAGGGAGCAAGGGCCCATGTTGGTGTGAGCCCTCATCCCATCAGGACTCTGAAGGCTGAACTGTTCTTGGTTTAATTCCCAGGCCTGGTGAGTAATGTGGTGTTCACCAGCCATACCACAGAGCAGGGGCGCCCTCTCCTCGTTCAGCTGCAGAGCCTCATCAGGGCTGCCAATCCTACCACAGCCTTCATTCTCGCAGAAAATGGGATTGTCACCAGGTAAATTTATCCCGTTCCCTTCACCCCACAGACCAAGCAGCTTCTCAGATCAGCAGCTCCCCTCTGGTAATGCACCACAGGGTCTCACTGTACCTGAGTCCTGAGCCATTACAGAAGTGCTGATGCTGTGTGAATCACCAAAAGGACACTATGTGTCAGAATCCTGTCCTGTTTTGAGATATTTTACTTTAATGCATTTACATTTTCATCCATTAAGGAATGGAAGTCAAGAATTTCTCAAGTTCCTATGTTAACATGTATGAAAAATTACATAGAGAAATTATCTTTTTACTTCATGGACTTGGGTCCAAATTGCAAACTAAAAATAGATCATTGGTGACTTGTATGTGTGTGTACAAAAGCATCTGATTGTATAGCAATTTTCAGTAAGGACACTAAAAGGTATATATTTTTTATATAATTTTGACTTTTTTAAAATATATTTTTATTGACTTCAGAGAGGAAGGAAGGAGAAAGGAATAGAAACATCAATGATGAGAGAGAATCATTGATCTGATCGGCTGCCTCCTGTATGCCCTCGACTGGGAATCAAACCCCTAACCTAGGCATATACCCTGGCCAGGAATTGAACTGTGACCTCCTGGTTCATAGATTGATGCTCAACCACTGAGCCACGCTGGCTGGGCTAATTTTCACGTTTTAAAAATTGATTGAAGGAAGGGAGAGAGAGAAACATTGATTTGTTCTACTTATGCATTCATTGATTGATTCTTGTATGTGCCCTAATCTAGAGATTGAACCCTCAACCTTGGCATATCGGGACAATGCTCTAACCAGCTGAGCTACCCAGCCAGGCTAGTTTTGACTTGAGCAATGCAAATATTTTACGTATTCAAAAATTAAATGAAACCAACAAGGAGGGAAAAATCTAAATACAAACAAAAAAGTGGGGACATCTGCAGTCACACACACACACACACACACACATACACATACACACACTCACACTCCCAAAATAATTCAAGTAACTTTTGAACATAATCCTCTATTGGTATCCTGATTCCAAACAGCATCACTGACTAGAGAAGGGAGATTATAAATATGGCCCTAGCCAGTTTTCTCAGTGGTGGGAGCTTTGGCCCGTGGACTGAAAGGTCCCCGGTTCAATTCCAGTCAGTGGTACATACCTTGGTTGCAGGCTCCATCCCTGGCTGGGTCAGAGCATGTACGGGAGGCAACCAATTGATGTGTCTCTCTCACATCAATGTTTCTCTCTCTGTGTCCCTCTCCTTGCCTTCCACTCTGTCTAGAAATCAATGGGGGAGAAATATCCTCCGATAGGATTAATAATAAATATGAAATGGGAAAGGTGAGGGAAAACCCTGTAAATGTTGGATTTGAATTTGGGGGAACTCAGTGTAAATTTATTATTTTTATTTTTATTTTATTTTTACTTTTTTCTGGCTCTCCCAAAGGAGGCCTCCACCCAGGTGCTTCCTGCACCTGAGGGGGGGAGGGGGGCGGGCGTGTCAGCCGGGGTCGGCGTTGGCTTTGGCGCCCTCCTCCCAGCGCCCCCTGTGCAGACCACAGCTCCTTGGAGAACAGTCCCGGAGGTCGCAGGGCGGGCCTGCGGGGGCTTCGCGCCTCCGCTGCTCGCCCAGGAGGAGGCGGGAAGAGCCACCCTCCCTCCGATCCTCCTCCTCTTCCCGAGAGGTCCCGTCCGGCCGCTGGGACCTCAAAGCTGGAGACCAGAGCCTGTCCCCGCGCGGCCCGCGGTGCGGCGAGCCTACTAAATTTATTATTTCAAAAAGGTATATTTATGAGCTCTTTCCATTGAAAGGGACCAGAAATACTAATGCCACAATAAACACCCTACCTCTAGATCTTGGTTTTTATGTACCAATCCACTGTCAGGTATCAGGACTCCTTGGAGAATTGGCTGATTGCAGGTCTAGGGCAGGTACATTTTATGCCAAAAAAGGAAAGATTTGTGTAGATATGTCAAAAGGGTATGGAAACTATCTTAAGAAGCTGTCAGTAGCCAAATTTGGGACAACTTGAGCGTGAGAAAGAATAATGATAATAATGGATTATAGCACATGGAATAAGGTGAGTCTATGTGATACTAAAAAAATGAAGAGGGACAGGATACTAAAACACTTTTAACAGGCAAATGCTAATAAATAAATAAGGATTTCTAGAACTAGAAAGTCAGCATCTTGTAACCTTTGGTATAATAACTTGGTTTAGGCAAAAATCAGTGGATGCTCAGTAGTTGACACATTGTTGAGGAAAAAGATATTCACTGGTCTCAGAGTATCACTCCACAGATCCTTACTACTTACAGAGGGAAGGTACCTTCACAGTGGGAGGAGAGGGTCTTGTAGTCATGACATTGACCAAATGATTCAACTTAGCAAGGCCACTAATGGGACAAATTGGCATCATGTGCCTACGTCCTATGCTATGGGAAGGACACATCACCTGGTATTAATCTTGCCAAAAATGTTTACCTGAATCTAATCATGAGGAAACAACCAGACAAATCTAAGTCATGGGACACAAGACAACAGGCATATAGTCTTTAAAAAGATTAATGTCATGAGAAACAAACACACAAGAAAGTTGGAGGAATTGTTCCAGATTAAAGAAAAATAAAGATTGTAATTTTGATAGGTGACACTTGATTGAATCCTGGGTCTCCCTAACCCCTAGAAAGGGAAAATTTGAAAAAGGATGTGTACTAAATCAATACTTCTTCAGCTTTAATGTGCATATGAATCTCTTGAGGATTATTAAAATGAGGGTTCTGATTCAGGAGGTCTGGAATAGGGCCTGAGATTCTGCATTTCTAATGAGCTCCCAGTGTTGCTGGTTCACAGTATTAAATTCCTCGGGCATGATAATCATATTGTGGTTCTGTAAGATAGTGTCCTTGTCCTTAGGCGATGCATACTGAAATACTTAAGGGTGAAATAACAGAAAAAATGCATGCATTTGTTGCTTATATGTGTGTGGGGGGACGGTGGAGAAAGCAAGCAAATGTGCAGGTTAAGATTGATAGTCCTAATTAATCTGGGTGGGGTTTTTTTCTGTATGTTTTCAAAGGAATGAAGACATTGAGCTGATTCTGTCAGAACACAGTTTTTCAAGTCCTCAGATGCTACGATCTCGATATTTAATGTACCCTGGCTGGCAAGTATCATCATTGAAAAGTAGCTGAGATTTATTTGTAAATCCAGTGATTTATTTATTAACAGCAAAAGAGAGAGAGAATACCAGGTGTGCTATACGAGGGTGTCCATGGCAGCTGGAAGGACCTACCATGTCCCAGCAGCAGCCGGCTTTTCCAGGAGCCCAGGGCTCCCCATCTTGGCCTCCAAATTGGGAGCCTTACTGCATGTTGAGACTTCAGGAGACATCCTGTGGGTACCAGGCACAATAGTGTCCTGTGTTTCCTCTGGCCTCTAGTGAGGGTGAGGTGGCTGACACAGAACCAAGGAGCTGTAACCTTCCCAGGTGAGAGAGTCTCTCCTGAGAGTAGTCAGTCCTTGAGGGTTCCTTCCTGACGCTAAGTTCCCTGCCAACGGGCCCAGCAGAGGTTCCTTCTCTCCTGGCAGCCTCCCAGCCTGTGACCTTCTCCTCCAGAGGGGAGAAGAGAAGGAAAGAGACTACAAGGTGCATTGTAATCGTACTAATACCAGCAGCTCATGAGCACTTATACACACTGTTCTAAGTATGGTAACCACTAGGCACACTTGACTATTTAATAAATGTATTGAATAAAAAGTTAGTCTTTCGGTCATACCATACTTGATTTGAATCACATCATACTTATACATAGGTAAGTGGGTCATCCCTTTTTTCCTGAACAAGACAGTTATATCTTAGATACAAAGAAAGAGATGGAGCTTCTGAGGTGAAACCCTCCTCTGGTGGCTGCAGATGCGGGCCCTTTTGCTGCCCACACCTATGGGCCTGGGCCTGAGACTTCTTCTTTCTGCACCTGGTGCCCAGGGAATCACCCTCTTCCAGTCCATGCTGACTCATTCTGGGCACGTGAACTGAGCTCCAGATACACTTTCCTGGAGGCAGACTGATCCAGGAAAGATCTGGGTATGAGGAGCTCATTAGAAGGTTCTGTGAGTCTAGAGTCTGAAACTTTCCCTTGATCAGGAAAATCAATGATTGTAGATAATCAGAGATGAAGGGGCCTTAAAATCACCCTTCAGGGAAGGTGGGAGAGGGTGGGTGGTTAAGAGATGATCAACCAAATAACTTGTATGCGTATATGCATAATCCACGGACCATAGGCAATAGGGTGGGGAGAGAGGGGACTGGAGGGGATCAATGGGGGGGAGAGGGAAGGAATATATGTAATATTTTAAACAAGGAAGATTTTTTTTTTAATCACCCTTCAGGCTCTCCTTTCTGAATTCCTTCCTTGGATTCAGATAATTTAGTCTTTAAACAAGATGGCAGCCATCAGACTCCTACTCATCCCTAGATATTACTCCCCTCCCTCCTTGGGTCAGGGCCATTACCTCCTAGTGAATGGACTTCAGCTCCAGGATGTGCTCATTCTGTGCTGTGAAGACTCTTAGCCATTCCCCTTCCACGGCCCTCTGTTCTCATCGGCCCCACCCCCACCTCCCAGGTTGAAGGGCGTGTTTCTAGCGTGGGAGGAAACCTTTCCCTCTTCCTTTAGCCCCTCCAAATTCTTCAAAGGATTTGGGCTCTGAGCACAGAAGCCCGAGTAACTCATGGTCTCCAAATGGCTGTCTGGGTTGGGGGAGAGAAACAAGACCATGGCATGGCAGTGTTGCAAAAATGCTATGCTACTACCCAACTTTAAGAAATCACAAAGAGTAAGATACTTTCAACAATATAAAATTCAAAACTGCAGTTACTATTTTAAAACTAAGGAAACTAATAAGAAAATACAGCCCAGCGGGTATGGCTCGTCAACCTATGAACTAGGAGATCACAGTTTGATAACCAGGTTTTGGGCTTGATCCCAAATAGGGCAAGTGCAGGAGGCAGCTAATTGAGGATTCTTTCTCATCATTGATGTTTCTCTGTCTCTCCCTCTCCCTTCCTCTCTCTGAAATGGATAAAATCATATTTTTTTTAAAAAAAGATGATGAAAATACAGTAGACTGGAGGAAAATGATTGCTTCAAATGTGACAAAAGGTTAATATAATATTTGAGAAACTTGTTTGGTCAGTTAAGAAAAATAGCCCAGTCCATGTAGATGTGGACAGTTCACTGAGGATCAAATACAGATGGCAACCATGATAGCAATTCCATGTCAGTAATATTCAAAATGTAACATGATGCCTCACTATTATTTTGATTGATACTATTACATTTAACCAAAAATATCTATAGAAACCATTGCTGGGGAATTGTTGTGAAACTGGAATGCTCACCTCCTGCCAGGGACAGTGTGAATTATTACCCATGAGATGGTTACAACCTCTTCTGGACTGATTTCAATCATGGGGATTCATCTGAAGGAAATAATACAAAAGGAGAAATGACAGGTCCATCACTTTAGAAGCTAGTTGATGGGAGTTTATTATACTACCCTTCTAACTTTGCATGTGTTTGAAGTTTTCCATAATGAAAGGTTAAATTTTTTAAATGCTCTGAATATGGCCATGTTCTGAATGAGTCTGTGGCAACATTGTGTCTTCTGTACTCAAAACTGAGAAAATAGTGCAGAGCTGCCTCAGCCCTTTAGTTCCTTCTGGTGAGAGTGTACACACCAAATATACAGTCTGTTAAACTACCCTCAGCGATGGTGGAGCATAGTTGGAGCCCTTGAAAGAGTGGGTAGGGATCCTAAGGAAGAGCTCCAGGGGTACCAGGAAGGACACCCTGGTCTCAGGTGGGACACTGCAGGCTTCAAAGGTCGAAGGGGTCTTTGACATCAAGAAACTACTAAAGAGGTAAACCATTCTTCCCAACCTCAAGGTGAAAGAAACATATATACATTTAAACAAATGTATTATACACAAAATTGTGTACAAGTAAGAGAGAATGCAAATATTACAGGATAAATAATATGTAGTTCATTCCAAAGTATTATATAATACTGTTGTACTTACAATGTTTTAAACCTTTTAAGGTATGAAGGTAAATTTGATGCTGGATCAGTCTTTCCATTAATGGTTCAGATCTGCGTATGGTTTGGTCGTCCCTTGGAGAGGACTCGCTTTATAGCCAAATGTAAAGGTAAGCCCTGGCCGGGACAGGTCCCGGGCCCAGTAAAAGAACAACAAGAGTTGTCCCTGTTTCCTGGCACCATTTTAGTTTTCTGAATGCTGTCTCTTCTCCTCTCCATTTGGGTCTGAAAACAGGCAGAGGGATTTGAGAATGCAGGAATCCCCCACCTCTGGAGCCACTGGGGAGGAATGGGTGGGGATAGAACCCATGAACCCAGGACCCTAGAGTAAGATCCCTTCCTAGTCCCTAATCCTCCCAGCGCTGCCACTCTAAACTTGACCTCTGCCCCCAGGTGGGTAACAATCCTGTCCTCTTCCTCCACCAGCAATTCAGTCTTCCATCAAGCCAAGTCCTTTCTCTGGAAACATCTACCACATCCTGGGCAAAGTGAAGTTTTCAGGTAACTGAGGGGGTTGGATTTGGGAGCCCTGCACTATGGAGTTCATAGCCTCCATTGGTGCTCTGCAGACTCTCTCCAAAACCCTCCCCTCTGGGCCTTACACCATTGGGCTCTTTCAATCACCCCTCTCTGCCAGGGGCCCACCTTCCTTCAGGTCCTTCTGCTCCACAGTGGAGGATCTGTCCTCCTTCCCCTGGATGGCCTGCCCAGGGCCGCTCCTCACAGCTCCTGGACTTCCTTGTTCCAGAGACTCAAACCATCATCCATGGTTTCTTTCTAGACCTATCACCTTTCTAGAGCTACCCCAACACTGAGATCTCCAGCTTCTGATCCATGTCTGTCAAAGTCACTTGCCTTCTCCCTTCTGGTCAGTAGGCCTGTTTATCAGCCTTAGACTCTGGAGCCTTCCAGACCTGGAGTCTGTCTACCTGGGCTGGGGTCAGAGAAGGCCTCAAAACAAGGAGTTGCTGAACTCAGCAATGAGGAAGGGGAGACTGTTCCAGAGAAAAGACACAGAACGTGCTGTGGACCTGAGGCAAAAAAGCACACTTCAGGAACCAGAAAGGGCTTACTGTGCCTGGGGCTTAGCAGGAGGCAGGGATTGTGTCTGTTAGGTTGTCTTTGGCTCTTACAACAGAGAACCCCAAATCAACTAGCAGGTGTTAGCTACATACCAAGAAGCAAGAGGTCAGGCTGCATAGCAAAGCCACTGAGGACCCAGCTAATATGTGTCTCTGTGTTCTTCGATTCTTGGTGTCAGTTTGTCCTCACGTACCCACCCCTCATGGTTGCCAGGTAGTGCTGTAGGTCTAGGTGTCAAATCCAGACACAACATCCAGCTGATGGAGAGGCTGGCTCTTCCTGTGGTATCTTTATCAGTGCAGACACCCTTGCTGAAGTGCCTCCTCCCAATTCTTCAGCAGACTTCTCTCCTTGACCGGAATTCAGTTGCTATGCCTTCCAGGATCCAGGACCCATGGGGAATTGGTATTAGAGGAAGAGAGGGCTGCTGGACAGGCAGCCATCAGAGTCTGCTACAGGGAGCCATTGAGAGTTGTAAGCATGGAACCATCTGGGTCTTTAGATGGAAGAATTAGACAACGTAACCTTTAAAAAGGAATCTTTCATGGTCTTTAACCTGTACCATTGGCCTAAATTATATTACTGAATTTGAAACTTTGGCCCTCTCTTCAAGCCCCTTGCTCAAGACCACTTCCCTCAGGCGCCAACAGACAACCCCCCACCTGCTTCAGGGATCTTAGTGCCTTTTGTCTTCCCTCTTCCCCATCATCAGCTCCTTTTCTTTATTTACACCTACTCTTGACCCCTTGCTTGTTCAAGGTTAACCTCTCTTGTTCTGGATCCTTTTCTCATCCTGCCTTTTAGAGGTACCTTTATCTTTTCTCATGTCTCCAGTCAGTCATAGCCCAGCTTCTCAGCCTGTAAACCTTGTCCCCTCTTTTCTATTCCCATCCAGGTGACCTTTCTACAGCACTTGTACTATGGACACGCCCTCTCCTCCCTTGGCCCCTCAGGCCTCTTTGAGACCACCCCCTCCAGAAGGGGGCCTTTCTCTTATAGTCCCCTTCTAGGTTGTATCCACCTGATCACTTGATCAACCAACCTACCCCGCCCTCTCTTACTTCATCCTTTCTAACTTGTTACCAATTATGTTCGTTCTCCCTCCTGTACATGTCTCATGAGTCTGTCCCTGACCATAGACCCTATGTCAGTCTTGTGTAGCCTTATTCTTTTGGGGCATTGTCTCGGGGACTGACATGTGTTCTTGCAGACTCTGAGAAGACCATGGAGGTCTGCCACAACACTTTGGCCAATTCCTTGAGCATCGTGCCTGTATTGGAGGGACCCACGCCACCACCCAACTCCCGAGGCACACCTCAAGACAGCAGCGGGCAACAGGAGTGTTACCTCGTGTTCATCGGCTGCTCCCTGAAGGAAGAAAGCGTCAAGGACTGGCTACGGCAGTCTGCTAAGCAGGTAGTTTTTGAAGCTCAGACAAACTTGGCACAGATGTGGCTAGCACACCTCAGAACTGCTGCTGGCCTTGAGACAAAGGCCCCCCACCGTCTCCCTGGTGCCTCCCCACTCCCCACCGCTTCAGCTCAGCCAGCACTTTCAGGGACACTTAGAGAGTGGGAGGCAGCCACTCAGACAAACTCAGGGCAGACTTGTTTTCACAGACATTTCCAATTCTACTTCCACAAGCAGACTGGGGTTACTAGGTGGCCTCGTAGGGCCTGGGTGAAACCTACTTGGTCCATGTGGACGCTGTGTCAAACTGATGTTCCAAACTCAAAATGTCATTTCTTAGCTGAACCTTATTCAAAACTCTCCTGTGTTCTGAGCCCAGAATCTCTTGTTCTTGGGCTTTCCCTCTAGAAAGGAATTAACAACAAAGATATGGGAAGAGCCTTTTGCAAATCAAGACTCCAAGTATGGATAGCAGTGAGCCCGGGGCCCTGGAGACAGGTGCTGGGGAAGAGGAGGCTTTCTGTAAATGCACACAAGCACCTTTAGCCCAGACACACACACACACACACACACACACTTGAGTTATGGAGTTAAAATCCTTCAATACACTGCATGCTTTCAGTGCTAAGCCTCTTAGCACAGCCTTGGGGGGTTTAGCTCATCCTAGAACTCTGGAAAAAGAGTTGACTGGGGCCTGGGGCCTTTGTAGATGCTCAGTGGAAACCTGTCTTTTATACTGAGGAATGGCTGCCTGTAGGCTGTGGATAAACTTGATGATGCTTGACTATGGGACCTCATCCCTTTGTCTGCATGTCTGTCACTGGTGGGCCTTAGGGATGAGAATATGCAGAGGCAGGAACATGCCTATTTGCAAAAGCACTGGTCTCTCCTCTGCCACTGCCCCCCGGCACACAAAGCTTGGGAGTGGTCTTCTCGAGGGGCAGACAAGCAGGATATTGTGTCCAGGTCATGCCAGTGCTTGCTTTCCCTCCACTGGGGTCTTAGTCATATAACTGGCCCCTTGAGCCCTCACCTGCCTAGGTACTCCATCAGCTCTGTTGGGACCTGACCCCTCCCTCCATCTCTGCACAGAAGCCTCAGAGGAAAGCCCTGAAGACCAGGGGAATGCTGACCCAGCAGGAGATCAGGAACATCCATGTGAGTACCCTGCCCTAGGGGCTTAAGGCTCGTCCATATCCCAAGGCTGTCCTTCCAAGCTTGTGTAGCTTCATCCTTTGGGATTTTCTGGTGTCACCTGGGCATGAGATCTAGGAGCAGCTGAAGCCCTGCTTTGTCACCCTGTTCAAACAACGGAAGTTGTTCTCTCCTTCCCATCCCTTGGTCTACACAAACCAGCAAGTCCCAGGAAAAACTGTCTAGATCCTAAAGCTGCTTATGGGTAATGTGTGAATCTGAGGCCAGGACAAGAGGCCCCTTGATGAGCCCTCTTGGCCTCCAGGCTGACTCCCAGCCTCTGCCCCAGTTCCCACCTCCACAGGAGACTTTTCCTGACATGTTTGGAGGCAAAGACTAAAAGGAACACAGGCCCCAACATGAGCCACATCACCAGTCCCAGTGATGTGCAGGTGGGCAGAGAGTGCTCTGGGACCCCAGGAGCCCCTGCTTTGGACGTGAGGAGAGCCCTTCATATCCAGGCCCTACAGGACCTGGGCAACCCTGGGTGCTCCTGGGCAGGACACCGTGGGCACCTCAGAAGACAAATCTTCAACAAGGTCTAGTGCAGGTAGTTTATTTTGGAAATGATTCTAGGAGACACGAGTATGGAAATGGGAAAGTAACAGAGAGAAGGAAGGGGAGACAGCCAACAACGGGTATGGTATCGAATCAGGACCACTGTGGACAACCAGTTTCTTCTCACTAGGGGCACGCAGAGTGCCTCCCCACGAGCCCGGAGATCTCCATCAGTCATTGCTTGAGAGCTGCTGTGGGGAGGCGTTAACTCCCTGACACACAGCCTCCATGGAGTGGGCTATCTTGCAAGGATAATAGGTTTGTTTTTGTTTTTAATGAATGAGTGAATGATAGAAAGTGGTCAGATAATTCTAACAGGACTCTTTTTTCCCTATAGGTTAAACGCCACCTGGACCCCCTACCTGCAGGCTACTTTTATAATGGCACCCAGTTTGTCAATTTCTTTGGAGACAAGACTGATTTTCACCCACGTATCCTTGGGATCTGGGCCTGGGGGTATCTGGAAGCTTATCTGTAAGGAGAGTGTCTGCTAGAGGCGAGGCAGCCCCGCCCGGAGCAGGCTGGGTTCTGGGAGCAGCCAAGCACAGAGGCAGACTTCATTTTGGCCTCTTAAAGTCAATTGAATTTCTCCTTCATTCAGTGCTTGCTGATATAATCCTGTGGGTTGTAGTTTAAATGCAGCTGTGGTGACATCCTCAATTCTGTGGTCATCAAGGTCTCAATTTACATGTTGGAGAAGGGGCCTGATTACAGTAGTTAATCTGTGAAAAGGTAGGTAGGGTGCTGCTGTGTGCTAATGAAAGCTAAAGGGCACAGGTCTAGACCTCATGAAGGACCCTGTGCCAACCCCTGCCGCATTCTTTGTAGCTTTGGTGCTGTCAGTATATAAAAGCCCATCAGGTAGCCTCTATGCAGGCACTACCTCAGGGTCTCCCCCTCCCCCTTCACCTGCCCACAGATCCCTCTGGGCCAGGGCAGGCTTTTTTGTCCTCCAGGCTCATGGCTTTCTTCCTTAATGAGATGCCAGTCATGGACCAGTTCATGAATGACTATGT